ATCGTGAAAATTTTTTCAAGTAAAAGTTATGTGAAATTATACTATCAACCCAACTGAAGAAAAAAAAATTATAGATTTAAAAAAATAGTGAAATTAGTACTCACATCCGGTGTAACCGGAAGTACAAAAAGAATGATTTCATGTCGTAATAATCCGTTTTAGCGACCTAACTATGCCTTCCAAATGGTTTTCTTATATCACCAATAATACAGAAAAATATGGGGGTGATCCACTTTTGAGGGACACCCCAAATTGCAAATTGTGTATGACAGCGCCATCTATGGGATTGTTATAATAAATAAAATTTCGTCTTTATTTTATACATATCAAGAAATCACACCGTGAATCTATGCAGTAATACAAAGTTTTTATATAAAAACCTTGATAACCATATATATATGGCGAATAACTGTCTTATCGGCATCGCTGAGTACCCGAAAAGTTATCACTAACATTGTAAACTAACTTATCGGCCATATTACATTATATTCGGCACTAAGTTTACCATAGTTCTCGGCTTAATCACATGATGTCATACACTTCCATTCTAATTTAAAGTCTCTAGATTTACAAAAAACCGCGGTTTGACGCCATTTTGGCTCGAAAGTCAAGCGGGAAATTTAAAACTACAAACCAAAACATTACGCCAAATTTCCTTTCTTTTTTTCTCGTGGTACTCTGAAGAGTCGAAAGTCCTTCTTATTGCCATTTTTGCAACTCCAAAGGCAACAACACGGCAATATTTTTGTAAATAAGTGACAAGCTGTCAAACCGCCATTTTGGCTCGAAAACAGGCTTCATGAACCGCGGTACTTTGTAAATGTAGGGACTTTATTCTAATTATAACCAAGAAGTAGTCCAAATTGGATTGAACGTGTTCAATTTAGATTGCAACCTAGCTTAGGCTTTATAAAAATTTTAGACAAAGTCGTTTGGCGGTTATTACATATAAGTCTGAGCTTTTAGCACAATCGAGAGATAGTGTGGTCAATGAGTATGTAACATTAATATTTATTATAGAGGTTATTCCTTGGTATTGCCAACTAAATAAGTTGTTATGAAGCATTAATTTAATTCCTACATTCATGTATTAGGTGTTAATTTCGCTTCCAAGTTTTAAAATATAAGTCAGTTGGAATCTATTGTATATTCCATTTCAAAAGTAATATAAACATACTACATGTTTATAATTATAAGTCTATTAGTAGTGTGTCAATGTATGTTAATTATTATATTTACCTGTATTAGTAGCATTAAATCCTTGATGCAACCTCGGATCAAATCTCCCCACCCCTTGAACATGTTGCCCATCCGTCGAAACGTGACTTTGATATTTCCCCCAATTCAAATCCCGCTTATTCATCGAATCAAACCCGCTCGTCGCGGTCGACGAATTCTGATTGAAATAGCTCGCAGAAAACGGCGGCGATCTACGCCTAGGATCGCGATTCAACTTCACCTCCTCCTTCTCCTCGATCCTGGACGTACTCCCAACCTCCTCCTGGGGCTGCTTCAAACGCGGTTTCGGGTGATATTTATCCGCCAAACGTCGCGGCTTATTACTATCCATCGGGATATCTACCGTACTCGAAACGTAATCCTCCTGAGTTTTTTCATCTTTTCGAACGTCAAACGATTCTGATGACTTTTCTATTGATTTTTCAACTGTTTTAGTTTCCCCAGATTTCTCTTTAATCGATTTTTCTTTATGCCCCGACACCTTTCGCGAAGAATGATGGTGTTTATAATCTTTTTTTTCGCGATCTTTATGTTTATACTCTTTATCATCTTTGTGTTTATAATGGGAATCTTTTTTGTGATCTTTCTTTTTAGTCTCTTCCAATATTTTCGTATCAATACTACTCAATAAACTACCGAAAACGTCCCCTGACACATTCCCATCGACCTTAACAGTCTTAATTTTAACGTCTTTTTCTTTCGAAATCGTTTTTTCGCGATTTTTGGTTTCGTTTTTTGATATTTTTGGTTTACTCGATGGTACAGGGACGATTCTTGGAGTTATTTTTAGGTTTAATTCGATATTTAGGGAATCTTTTTGTTTTAAATCGTTTGATGCGCTTTGTAAGTATAAATCGTCGGTCCCTAATTGAGCTAAATCATCGTCAGTTAATAATGGTTTTTGTGGTTCTGTTACGACAGGGCCTAAACGCTCAAAAATCGATTTATTCTTTATTTTTGGGGTTTGGGTCAAACTCTGAGCCGCGCTGCTATAAATGTCGGGTTTTTCCTTCGTGTATCTCTCCAAGTTGTTATCCCACTTTGAACTAAAATCGTTTGGGTCAATAATATTCCTAAAAAAAATCATTTTTATTAATTACTTTTTAATGCATCATCATTAATCGAATCTTACCTATATTTGTAACTTTCTTGGGGCTCAATTGGGATTATTTTGGGTGGCTCACACGGTATTGAGATTTCTGGGGTTGGGCTGGGACTTTTTGGGGTTTCATTCGATTCCTGCATCCTTTGCAGCTTCGCCCTCGCCGTATTTAGCTTCAAAACGTTCATTATCTCGTTAACGACAGTCGTTGGGACCCCTTTCCCACCCCCTTGTTGCGCCAAATCCGATTGCTGGGATGGATTTGAAAGGGACTTCTTAATCTTGGTCTGCAACTTCAAAATGACCTCCTCACACTTCAATAGCGTATCAAATTTCCACCTAACAACATTATTTAATTAATTTGAACGAATTAATTAGTAGGAATAAGTTACTTTTTATTTTTGTCAGTGATCATGGTGTAAAGTGATTCCATTTTGTTTAATTGGGCCTCGCGCGGCTTCCACTTGGGGTCTTTGAGCTGGGTTATCATGTTTTCCATGAACGGGACGTATTGTTGCAAATCGGCGAGTTTTTTGTTGTAAGCTTCGTCCGACATCGCGATTAACCTAAAAAGAAATTGCATAACCTCAAATACCAAAAAAAAACGAAATATTATTACAACACTTATCGAATATTAATCCCACTTCACTAACAACGCATCCATACTTACCGTATTTAACACTTCAACGCATAATAATCGAATTAAATCACTTTACAATTAAAAATAATAAATAATTAACAACGCTTAAACACACTTTGACTTTGACGTACCAATATCATTCTTTTGTTTCTTAAAAAACATGGCCACCTCAATATGCCTCCTCGAAAAATAAATTTTGACACATTTTTTGTAGCATCATCAATAATAAATAAGAGTTGCAACGAAAAATGTTGCAATATAAATGCCTATTAAAACGTATATTACAACCTATATTGGGTAGCCATTTTTATAATTTATAACACAACGCGGGTATCGCATCATTTCGTTGCATTTCGCGTATTACAAAAATAAATCGATGTTCTTACCTTATCCACGTCAATTAGGGTAAAAATTAAACGTAATATTCCTCCAAATCCCACCCGATTCGGTTCCTACACTTCCTACGCATACAACGACCTTGTAGACTCCTCGCAATAACCCAACACGAACGGCTTTTAGGCATTTAGTGTCACGTATACCACGAATCCGTCGAAATCGTTAGTTTCCAACAATAATGCATTTAACAACAATTAACTTATCCTTTTTCCCCCATAAATAATTTTAAGTTGACGTTGTGTATTTAAAAATTCTAGTTAGTGCGTATTTTAGGTCTCTTCACTATGACCTTTGTGTTTTTGTGCTTGTATCGATTCGGTTTAGTAAATTAGTTTCGTTTCATCTTCATACATCTAATTCACATAAATACATCGATTTCGATACTTAAATACGACGTAGAATAATCTTTTTTTGCCTCGAGGGAGTTTGTTGACGTTTGACAAGAAACGAATAAAAAAAAGTGAGGTTAATAAATTAATTAACCCTTAATGTTGATAAAATCTCTATTACTTGTACAAAGTAATAATAAAATTAATAAACAAACCAGATGGATATGGGTGGGGTCTTTCGAAGGTGACTCCTCGGCGTTTTCGTTCCAAATAACGCGTCACGTAATCGATAAAACGACAAGATGGCCGCTTACAGCGCATACTAGCGGTGTTTTAATAAAAATTGTTGTATACAGGGTGGTGTATATTTTGGAAAACATCAATTATTTCAAGTGCTAAATTATAAAGTAAATGTTATTTTTTTTATTAATCCAAAAATACTATGTCACTAACAATTCGGACTTGTTAGTTGTGTAGGTGTAAAAATGTAAAAAGGAAAATGTATATCAAAGACAACGTTGAGCTGTCAGAGACGGAAAGAGATGATGTTTAAGGATATAATACTGAGAAATATCTGATGTTAATAAATAAAAGATGTTGAGAGACGCAGGGATATTGTTAAATAGGTGATGAATTGTAATTTATTAGTTAGTTTTGGGTAGATATGGCTTATTTCTATTTGATATGATATTAATTGTAGCTGAGGTTGCGATCGAGACTCTACAATATAATCTTAAGATAAAAACTTCATCTTATTAAGCTGAGGCTGCTTGAGGACGAGGCGCTGCCGTTATTGCCCTTAACTAATCCTAGAACAGAGAATCTATGATTTTGCCTTATTAACCCATTTGGCGTCTCTGTGCCACTTGTTTTATTCCACTTATCATTCCGGCTAAATTTATAACAGAGCCCAGACACCGAATTATGTGTTATAACTTAGGTTATACAGGTGGTTCAAATTCAATGTCCGAATAGGTATGTAGCAGTTGGTAACACCATAACACTTGGAAATAGAAATTTGAATTGACAATTAGAAACTGTCAAAACACAAAATGTATTTACCTGATTAAATGTTTCATGTACACCTCCCGAAATAAGAGAAATTGCTCAGAGTTCAATGTCCTCATCATTGTGGACCTTGTATTCGATACTAAGAACGTGTTTAAACATCCATAGACAAACACTGTCACATTGACAATTAGAAAAATTAATGACACAATGTCACCAACTTAAACTGGTTCCATAAAATGTTACTAAAATCTCATTACCATCGCGAATTACAAAAATTAAATTTACAGTTTCCTGTAAATTATAACTATTTCTGATATTTGAAACAAATACATTTCTTAAACTATTTAATTTGTATTTGTTTTACACAAAAGTTGGAATAGATTGCATTATTTTACATTTTTAACATAGTAAGTTTTGTATTCAAAAATTTTTTAAAGTGTCAACTTAAAAATCCTGTTTTTTGGGATGAATTACGAAAAGTTTAACATGTTAGAATGTTACATATTAGAAAATAATACTTAAAAGTAAATTTTTAAATAAAGTTTAAACATCAATGTGACACAAATTCAATGTTACCAACTTCGTAACAATTTGTCAAAATTAAATGTCAATTTTATGAAACGTCATATTTTTTACGAAAATTAATTAATTTGTGTTTAAATTTTAAATCATACGAAAAAAAGAATTTGTTTAGGTTTTTTTAATATCAAACCTTTAGAAAGTCCTAAAAAGTTGAATTAAATTGACGTTTTTTGAAATTTTGACGTTTCAAATAATTATTATTAGTCTGGTCAAGATGGCTACCCGTGAATAATGATTATAATTCACAGCTATTATTCACACCGCGAAAAATGACTACCTTTTTGTTTTAGAAAACTCATTCATAAGGTATATATTATAAGGTAGTCGTGGACAAAGTAAATTTTATTAAAATTTTTAGTAGAATAATTTTTAGTTATAGTACCATAATTTACAGGAAACTGTAAATTTAATTTCTTTGACGACACCAAGTCTTGACGTCACCGAGATGGGCGGAGCTTATACCGACTTCAAACATCTTCGTTGCTAACGATAAATTCTCCTATGCAATTTTTCAATTATAGTGAGTTTACACATGCATGGATTTAGTGGCGCCAATAAAAACTGGCGCGCCAGTAAAATTAAATTACATGTGTAAACATCAACTGGCATGCAAGTTGAAACCATGCATGCATGGATCGGATATTAAATCGGAAATTAAATCCCAATTACGTTAACACATTCAACGATAACGTATAATTATCCACCTTAAACCTAGAATATATCTATTTTCCTTTCGGTTTAGGTTCTAATTTATGTATATAGTTGTAGTACACTTTAAAAATGAAACTGGCGTGGCACATGTAATGTAAACCTTTACTGGCGTGCAAGTAGAACTAGCGCATCTACTGGCGCCACTAAATCCATGCATGTCTAAACTCACCTTAAGATAAAAATGTCATTTAAAATGTCACTTAGTTTATTTTATTTAAACACTAAAGGTGAGTTTAGACATGCATGGATTTAGTGGCGCCAGTAGTTGATGAGTGACACGCCAGTTTCATTTTTAAAGTGTACTACAACTATATACACAAATTAGAACCTAAACCGAAAGGAAAATAGATATATTCTAGGTTTAAGGTGGATAATTATACGTTATCGTTGAATGTGTTAACGTAATTGGGATTTAATTTGAATGCAAGGAAACATAACCTAAATTTGACATTAAAAAATTTTGTATTTTTGTGGACACTCACCTATGTTGCCATGGTTACATGTTTTAGACTCATCACTGGCGCCAGTAATTTCAGAAGGGTGCAGACTTTTCCGATCCATGCATGCATGGTTTCAACTTGCATGCCAGTTGATGTTTACACATGCAATTTAATTTTACTGGCGCCACTAAATCCATGCATGTGTAAACTCACTATTAGCAACTGTTACGGTTAGCAACAAAATTGTTTGAAGTCGGTATAAGCTCCGCCTACCTCTGTAACGTAGATATAGGCAATCTATTCAAAAAAAAATTGTCGAAATCGGGTAACAAATACAGATTTTACGAGGGTGCTCCGCTTTCAAATGAGTCACACTGTATAATGTGAAGCCTCGCTCGCAAGCAACCTCCGCTTAATTAGATAAAACCATTTATTTTCTATCCTAAGTTAAACAAAGAACTCATACAACCCAGGTTGTAGCACATAATGCGGAGCCTCGCCCGCAAGCGACTTCGGTTCTGTTATAAATTTGATTCATCAAATTATAAGAAAACTGGGGCCTCGGCCGCAAGCGACCTCGGCCGAATTATATAAAATCATTTATTTTCTGTTTTAAGTTAATTATAACAAATAATGTGGAGCTTCGCCCGCACTTGTGGACGAGGCGCTGTATTATATGGCACCCAATTTTGTATCATCAAAGTGGCATAAAAACTGGGGCCTCGGTCGCAAGCGACCTCGGCTTAATTAGTTGAAACTATCCATTTTCTGTTCTAAGTTTAACGAAAAACGCATGCACTCAGGTTGCAATACATAATGTGGAGCCTCGCCCGCAAGCGACCTCGGCTCTGTTATTAACTTGATTCATCAAATGGCATAAAAACTGGGGCCTCGGCCGCAAGCGACCTCGGCTTAATTAAACGAAACCATCCATTTTCTGTTCTAAGTTAAACGAACAGCGAGTGCAACTTAGATTTGTGTCATCAAAGTGATATAAAAACTAGGGCCTCGGCCGCAAGCGACCTCGGCTTATCTTAAAGCAGAGGGTGATTGCAAATAACGTTGCCTCGGCCGCAAGCGGCCTCGGATTCTGCTCTAAGATGAGCCGAAATCTAGAAGCATAACACAATGCCATTTCCTTTTATAACCTTCTTCTTCTTCTGAGCAACTTCTGAGGACGTCCTTTATATTGGTAACAAAGCAAAATACAAAAAAAAATAAAATATTATAAATAATCTGAAAAAAAAAATCAATTATTGGTAATAAACAAAATAATAAAATAAATAATTCAATTCACAATGCACTAAAATAAAAACAGGAAACTATTTATAGTTGCACCTCAACTCCACTAGATGGCAGTGTTAAAATATTGAAATTAATTCTTTATTAATTTCGACAATTACATTTTATTATATAGTTTAAAAAAAAAAATTAAGTTAATAAATAATGAGGAAATGTAACTGGATGGAAAATTAAGAGGATATAATCGATCGCATCAACTAGGGTTTTAAAAGTCGATTTTTTCTCATTTATCGTAAAGTTTATTATTAATTAGTTATTAATCGAACAAAAAAAATCTCAATCTCGAGAGTACACTGAACACTGCGCAACTTATATACACAGGAGGGCGGTTTTTTTTTTTTTTTTTGGGGACGTCCAGATAACGATTGGGGAATATGAGGGTGGGGGCGGTCGTCCCTTAACAAATCATTTTTTTTTAAATATAACCTTTCGTTTAAATCATTTTTTTGAGCTGGAATGTAACAACCATCAACAATCCCACCACCTCCACACTTCCTTCTCCTCCTCCTTTTCCCACCTCCATCATCATCAACATCATCAAGGTGTATTTTGACGTATAAAGCGGGCAAGGGACAGCGATAAGAACGTTTTATATACACTTTTTTTTTGTTTTAAACGCTCGACAACATCGCCCAACTTTAATTTACTCATTATTTCTTTTTGTAATTAACTTTTCCCCCTTTATCTCATTGTTGGTGTTCTTACCTGCGACGCGACGGGGGGGAAATGAACGGTGGCGTCGTTGTCGGGCGACGGCAGGTACGGGAACGACTCTCAATTATGAACGGCCGGCGTCGCCTGGCGCTCGATTTCCTCCAAACTGAGCGCGTGTTGAGCCAGGTTCGGCGGCATCGTCGGCAGTTTACCTTTACGTGCGCGATCTAGTAAATCCGAAGAGAACCAACGCGCCAATTGATTACTTGTGGGGGACATTTCGCCGCCGTTGGTAGTCCCGGAACGATTACCTCCGATTACTTGTTGTCTATTATCTTAATCAAAAAGAATTAAAAAATTATTTTATTCCATTTTATTTAAGGAAAAATAAAAAAAAGGAAACACCCTGTATAACAACTTATAACTAAGGAGTATTTTTTTTTAATTACCAAAGTTCTGATTTTGTAACATCCATTGATGACCATATTGTTGCTGTTGAGATTGTTGTTGCGGAGCTTGTTGTTGGGGTTGGGGTTGTGGTTGAGCTTGAGCTTGATGCTGATGTTGAGCCCTAGCTTGGTGTTGAGCCCGCAATTGTTGATGGTTAAATTGTCCCGTTTGACCTCCGAAATTCCCACCAAATTGCATGTTGTATTGTTGGGTTTGTTTTCGCTGCTGTTGTTGTTGTTGCTGATTAAAAAGCCTTTGTTGCAACATGTATTGATCGTGTTGTGGATGTTGTTGGACTTGTTGGTAATTTGCGTTATTTTTTACAATGGCTCTACCTAAAATAAAAATTATTTTATTAATTACTCCCAAATTTTCGAAAATTAACTTATTTGAGTAACAAAATTTCAAACGTCAATGTCACAAATTGATTTCAACATTACCAACTGTCAATTATACCAAATGTCGCCAACTTCACACTTGACAAAATAATTTTTATGTCCTGATTAAGATTACAAACCGTTTTATCAACAAATTTGGTCCCATTGCTGTTTTTTTCGTCGATTATTATTATTATTCGTCTTTGACGCACGGCGTAACCTCAAAATTTCTAGTTTTAGTTTTATTTCTAACGCAAAATTAGTCAAATAAATTTCTATTAATGAAACGTCAAAAAATGTCACTTTAAGACGCATAGGAGATAGCGCCATCTACCGAAAAAGCCTCTAACTTCTCATCATGTCAAATATTTTAAATATTTTTTTTTAACCTAATTTAAAACCACGATAAAGATGAATTACTATTTGATTTCGTTTATAATGTAAAACGTATACAACTGAGTAAAACGAGCTTCTATGAGTTAAGTACATTTTTTAATGAAACGTCAAAAAAATTTTATTTGAAAAAGTGAGGTTAGGTTGTGTTGGAAAAATGTGATTAAAAATCCTCAACATCATTTTCTAGCACAGCTTTAAACTAACACGGCCGTTTTCGAAGACATCGGCCGCCCCCGGCCATTAAAACATTGAAAACCTTGAGTTGGATCTTTACTCGCTTTTGTGAAAATGAACATTTTATGTTCTCGGAGGCGGCCGATGTCTTCGAAAACGGCCGTGTTAGCTTAAAACTGTGCTGGGAAATACATTTTATCTGTTTGTTCGTCCCAATCTCACCTTTCCAACTAAATTTTTCCAAGTGACATTTTTTTAGGTTTCATTAAAAAAAAAATTATTTTACTCACTCAGTGCGTCCTCGAAGATTTTCTTTCACATCATAAAAGAACCACAAAAAGTAAACTCACACGATACGATATATCCGTTCAACCTAACCTCAGTCTTTCAAGTCTTTGACGCACGGCATAACCTCGAAATTTCTAGTTTTAGTTTTATTTCCAACGCAAAATGAGCTAAATAAATTTCTTTTTCCGTCGACCGTGTATTTATACGATTTGTAAATGTATACAAAATCATTCATTAATGACACCTATTAATAAACGAATTTAATATAAAAATCTAACCTCACTTTTAATGTGTCAAAAGTCAAAACTTATTATTGTAGTCTTACCGAATAGATATAGTGGTCGGTTGGGTCGGTATTACAGATTTCATTCGGAAATATTTACTACGATATTAAAGTTTTAAAGTGATTTTTCAACGATGGATTTTCTCTATTTTGTTGAAAAAACAGTCAACGGAAAAATATTGTAACTAACTCGTATATTAAAATGCGATTAATTATCTCAATAATTAACGCGTGAGCGAGCGAAGCGAAATTATTTGAAGAGAAAAATTAGAAAAGCGTTAAAATATCTCGATAATTAATCGCCTTCATTAATACACTTGTTTATAGTTAGTATATCCTAATTTTGTCAACTTTACAACAATTTGACAGGTATTATAGAAAAAAAAACGAACTATACTAAAAATTGAACGAATGTGGCGCCATCTGTTGGGGATATTTTGAAATTATTCAGCTAAGAACCGAACCATTAGGAACCACAGGTTGGATTATGTTTATATATTAAAGCTCCAACCACAGAATAACTGTTTGGAAAATGTAATTAACGTTCCGACTGGTTGGGAATTCCTCAGATGCAATTACCTATGGCAATTACAGGTGTAATTCCGACGTCTGAAACTATCATCAAGTTTATTCTTTTTTTTTTTTAATAATTCAATGTTTTTTTAAATGAAATAGATTATTTTTTGGTGTGACAATCAAATATGGCGTTCATAAGAAAAAATAAACCTGAGGATAGTTTCACGAAAACGAAACGTCGGAAAAAAAAATCTAGTTGTGTCATGACATTTTTCATAAAAACTTGCCTTAAGAATGTTTTTTCAAATTCACGAAAAAACGAAAAATAAAGGAGTTATAGGCAAAAAACGAAAAAGTCATTTTCTTGTTTTTCGGGCATATTTTAAAAACTAAAACGGCTAGATCCAAAAACTTTGTTGAAAAATGATGAGCTCTAAGATACGCAACTTTGCCCCATTTAACCATTTCTCTATATCTAATGGTTTCTGAGATCTCAATGGTGGGGATCGAATTTGAATTACTCTGTAGAGATCATCATCACAACACCTTCTAAACAGTTTTTAACGACTATAGAAATAATTAGAAAGCTTCTGCACAACTTTTGACTACCATAGAAATCATTAAATACCTTCTGGACAATTTTTGATAACTCTAGGTATCATTAGACACCTTGTGGATAATTTTTAATGACCCTAGAAACAATTAGGAAGCTTCTGGATAATTTTTGACTACTATGGAAATCATTAGAGACCTTCTGGACACTTTTTAAAGATTATGATATCAGCAGACACCTTGTGGACAGTTTTTAACGACTATAGAAATAATTAGAAAGCTTCTTAACAATTTTTGACTACTATAGAAATCATTAAATACCATCTTGACAATTTTTGATAACTCTAAGTATCATTAGACACCTTGTGGACAATTTTTAGTGACTATAGAAACAATTAAAAAGCTTCTGGACAATTTTTGACTACTATAGGAATCTTTAAATACCTTCTGAACACTTTTTGATAACTCTAGGTGTCATTAGACACCTTGTGGACAGGTTTTAACGACTATAGACTCAATTAGAAAGGTTCTGGATAATTTTGGACTACTATAGAAATCATTAGAAACCTTCTGGCTACTTTCTGAAGACTATAGATATCAGTAGACACCTTCTGAACAGTTTTTAACGACTATAGAAATAATTAGAAAGCTTCTGAACAATTCTTGACTACTATAGAAATCATGAAATGCATTCTGGACAATTTTTAATAACTCTAGGTATCATTAGACACCTTGTGGATAGTTTTTAACAACTATAGAAATAATTAGAAAGCTTCCGAACAATTTCTGACTACTATAGAAATCATTAGAAATCTTCTGGTTACTTTCTGAAGACTATAGATATCAATAGGCACCTTCGGGACAGTTTTTAACGACTATAGAAGTAATTAGAAAGCTTCTGGATAATTTTTGACTACTATAGAAATCATTAAATACCTTCTGGACACTTTTTGATAACTCTAGGTATCATTAGACACCTTGTGGACAATTTTTAGTGACTATAGAAACAATTAAAAAGCTTCTGGACAATTTTTGACTACTATGGGAATCATTAAATACCTTCTGGACAATTTTTGATAACTCTAGGTATCATTAGACACTTTGTGGACAGTTTTTAACAACTATAGGAACAATTAGGAAGCTTCTGGACAATTTTTAACTACTATGGAAATCATTAGAGACCTTTTGGACACTTTTTAAAGATTATAGATATCAGCAGACATCTTGTGGACAGTTTTTAACGACTATAGAAATAATTAGAAAGCTTCTTAACAATTTTTGACTACTATAGAAATCATTAAATACCTTCTGGACAATTTTTGATAACTCTAGGTATCATTAGACACCTTGTGGATAGTTTTTAACAACTATAGAAATAATTAGAAAGCTTCCGAACAATTTCTGACTACTATAGAAATCATTAGAAATCTTCTGGCTACTTTCTGAAGACTATAGATATCAATAGGCACCTTCTGGATAGTTTTTAACGACTATAAAAGTAATTAGAAAGCTTCTGGATAATTTTTGACTACTATAGAAATCATTAAATACCTTCTGGACAATTTTTGATAACTCTAGGTATCATTAGACACATTGTGGACAGTTTTTAACAACTATAGGAACAGTTAGAAAACTTCTGGATAATTTTTGACTACTGTAGAGATCGTTAGAGACCTTCTGGACACTGTTTGAAAACTATAGATATCAGTAGACACCTTTTGAACGGTTTTTAACGATTATAAACGTCAAAAAAATGTCACTTCAAAAAGTGAGGTTAGATTCTGTTGGAAAAGTGTGATTAAAAATCCTCAACATCATCATTTTCGAAGACATCGGCCGCCCCCGGCCATCGCGGACGCTAAATCTATCTATCTGTTCATCCCAACCTCACTTTACCAATTAAATCTAACCTCACTTCTCCAAGTGACATTTTTTAACGTTTCATTAAAAAAAAATTTATTTACTCACTCATTGCGTTCTCGAAGATTTTCTTTCATATTAGCGATTCATAAGAAGCGATCTCACTTAAAATAGCCACAAAAAGTAAACTCACAAGATACGAAATATCCATTCAACCCAACCTAACCTCACTTATTCAAGTGACATTTTTCACAACCGTTACTGCCGATGGTATAAGAAATAAAACTAAAACTAGAAATTTTAACCTCAAAATTTCTAGTTTTAGTTTTATTTCTAATGTAAAATGAGTTAAATAAGTTTCTTCAGAAACGTCAAAAAATGTCACTTTAAGACGCATAAGAGATAGCGCCACCTGCCGAAAAGTTTAAACGTCAATGTTACCAACAGTAACCAACTTCACAACAATTTGTCAAAATTAAATGTCAATTTTATGAAACGTCATGTTTTCAAATGTGCAAAATACTAATAAAGCAATTTTCAAAGTTTTTTTTTATACCATAATTTAGGCCATAATTTTGTAATAAATTTTATTTTACCTTTATTATTAATTTGCGGATACTGAGTGTTCCATTGTTGTTGCGGAGCGGGTTGAGTTTGCCGCATTCCGGTTAACGGGCGACCTTGTTGCTGTTGGACGATTTTATTCGGGTCATTTTTGTTGGCATCTTTCCCCTCATCTTTATCGGCGGTCATTTTTCGCAAAACCGACGTTGGCGTGCCCCAGGCCAATTGCGTGGGGGACGCCACGTTTTTAGCCGGTGGGGGCGCCCCACCGACTTGTTGAGCCCTTTGTTGCGACTCCTGCTTTTTTCGGAAATTCTCGGTCTGCTCCTCCAGTTTCTTTTTAATCAACGCGTTGTGCATGATGTGTTGCGTGTGGAGTTGGAGCTCGCGCGGGGATGGAATACGTTGATGCAAAGCTAAATCAAAATAGAAATAAAATTAATAATTATAATAAGTTAAATTAATAAAGATAAACATAAAATGCATGTCACAAAAAGCTTGTTATTTTTGGTTAATGTTATTTTGATATAAATGAGTGATGTCGCATTGTATCTTCTTCTTACCGGGTATTGTAAGGGTGTTAGGGCTAGTGGCTAAAATTGGCGATGCGCAGTACGCTGCATGTGAATAAGAGTAAACAATGAATTTGCGCAAAAAGCTCCCCTTTATTTATTTATTTATTTTATTGTTTTATTTATTTATTTTTTTTTAAAGCAAGCGAAGCGACTCCACTCACCGTTAACGGGGGGTAACGGGGAAACGCGAAGTTGCTGCTGCTGTTGTTGTTGTTGTTGTTGGGGTGTAAACGTAGCGTGTTGCTGGGTTTGTGGGGCCATCGGGCTGAGCACTCTGGGGCTCGGTCCGGGGGCGGCCGCCACAGCACCCGGCAACGTCTTCAGTATCGTCTGAATGAGCTCGCGGTGTCTCGATTGCATGGCTGGATTAGCCAGCTGCTGGTAAAGATTCTGCGGCGTGATGTCGCCCCTTTTCAGTCCTAATAAGGGATTCAACATAACCCCACAAAAAAATTTAACTCACTCGTCTAAACAACCGAGATTGAAATGATTTTTTACCTTGAAAAATAGCTTGAGCTTCCGGTCGATTCAACAACTCTCGACTGGCGACTTGTATCCCGATATCATTCAATGGCATTTGGTGTTGTCGTTGACCTTGCTTGTAAATTTCGGGGGGTAACAACCCGGAAGCGCTCATCATTTGAATCATTCGGGCGGCTTCGTCTTGTTTTTGAGAGTGCGACAACATCTCCATGAGGCTCATCGGTTGCGGGGGAGGTTTCGCGGTTGGACCGTTACTCGCCAAGCTTAAATTTCCCGCATTGTCTTGAGCTAAAAGCTTTTCAAATGCGGCGTTCTCGTCGGTTTCGGATGTTACGTTTTGATGCGCCGCGCGCATATCTCCTGATGGGCCTATTTCGGCTTTACGTACTTTAGCTTCTAATTCTTCAAGGCTTAACATTTTCGCGGGGGATATTCCTACAACAAAATTATTAATAATTTAACTAAATAAAACACAAGTTCGGGTTAAAACGTAAATGAGTGCTATAGAACAAAGTTTAATAACAAATAAAATTGCTACAATTCATTATCTAAGAAGAAATCCAAAGGAAAAACAACGAAGAAGCAATAAAATATAATATAATATTTATAATAATCAAAATAACAGATTAAAATATCCAATAATTTCTATAAATGTCAAAAAGTAAGGTTAAAATAAAACAGTTGGCAACATCGACAGGGAATTTTATTTTGTCATGTTTTTAAAACCATCATGTGTCAAGTTGACGTTTAAACTAAATATTTAGTTGTTTAAAAGATAAAATTTAGTTTTAGGTTTAATGTTTAGATATAAATAATTCAAATCGATTAAAAATGTTTTAACCATTAATTATTAATTGTTAAAAATGTAATTAAAAGTTCTACAATTAATATGATACCAACCCGAAAAATAAAAAAAATTTCGTAGAAAATGAATTATTAGATATTCGTAGAAAAAAATTGTTTATAATTAAATATTTAAATTGTTTATAAAAATTTTCGATTCGATCAATAATTATTGAGATAACCTCAAATATGTCAATTTGTGTTGGGGTTTATTATTAATTGATTAATTTAATTATTATATTCGTAATCTTTATAAAATAACCTTTAAAATGAGTCCAAACATGATGTATTTATCTCAAAAAATAATGAAACCTAGAACTAGAAATTTGTGTTGTTTTAAATCGACTTGAACGATTAAAATTCAAATTTTATTAAAAAGAACATTAAAAATCCTTTAAAATGATACCAAACACGATATGGTTATGTTAAANAAAATATCCAATAATTTCTATAAATGTCAAAAAGTAAGGTTAAAATAAAACAGTTGGCAACATCGACAGGGAATTTTATTTTGTCATGTTTTTAAAACCATCATGTGTCAAGTTGACGTTTAAACTAAATATTTAGTTGTTTAAAAGATAAAATTTAGTTTTAGGTTTAATGTTTAGATATAAATAATTCAAATCGATTAAAAATGTTTTAACCATTAATTATTAATTGTTAAAAATGTAATTAAAAGTTCTACAATTAATATGATACCAACCCGAAAAATAAAAAAAATTTCGTAGAAAATGAATTATTAGATATTCGTAGAAAAAAATTGTTTATAATTAAATATTTAAATTGTTTATAAAAATTTTCGATTCGATCAATAATTATTGAGATAACCTCAAATATGTCAATTTGTGTTGGGGTTTATTATTAATTGATTAATTTAATTATTATATTCGTAATCTTTATAAAATAACCTTTAAAATGAGTCCAAACATGATGTATTTATCTCAAAAAATAATAAAACCTAGAACTAGAAATTTGTGTTGTTTTAAATCGACTTGAACGATTAAAATTCAAATTTTATTAAAAAGAACATTAAAAATCCTTTAAAATGATACCAAACACGATATGGTTATGTTAAAAAACAAAAAAGTTATCACAGTTTCGTTTTTGACAGAAACAAGAAACAATTGAAAATCGTTTTCTATAAACGCCCATAACTCCCTTATTTATTAAGATAATTAGGTGGTGTTTGGACTTAAATTAATCAAAATTTTGTGTAGATTTCATTTTTTCAATAATAAATTTATTTTTTTTTAAATCATCGAAGAACTGTCAAAAATGAAAAGGTTCAATTTGAAGTTGAGACGTAAAATCGAATAAATCTTTATCGTTTTATAGTCAATATCGATTTTTAAAATGAAATAGGCTTTTAATTTCGAATGAAAAACCAAAATTGTTGAAATTTTTATTTTAACTTTATGATCATTGAAAAGAAAATGAAAAATCCTTTAAAATGATACCAAACTCGATGAGGTTATCTTCAAAAACAAAAAAGTTATGATACTTTTTCTTTTGACAGACACAAAAAACAAGTGACAATCATTTTTTTAAAATCTCCATAATTCCCTTATTTATTAAAATAATGAAATGGTGTTTGGACTTAAATTAAGCGAAATTTTATGTAGATTTCGTTTTTTTAATAATATACAGGGTGTACCAGGTATGAATAGAAAAAATTTGATGGGTTATAGGGCCCCTTTTTATGAATAAAAAATTCTTATAACAAAAGATCTCATTCTTAAGATATGATACGATAAAGTTAAGAATTTGAAAGTTTAAGTACTGCTGTATAAATAATTATACTAAGCAGGCTTTGCTTATGTACATAGCTTTAATTTGACACATAAACGAAAAATATCATTTTTGAGTTCCTTTTTTTGGAGGTTGTTTACTTCATACGAATAAATTTATCACTTCTGTTTCATCACTTTTTAATGTGAAAATGTAGAAAAATTGATTTTAAAGCTTATAAATAAAAAATGGTAATAATTGAGTTCAATTTTTTTATGGATCTAGTCTTTATGGAACATTACTACGGTTTTATGTATAAAAAGTTTTTTTCTATCGCTTTTAGTTTGTGAGTTATGATTGAGTTAATTTTCGAAAATCAACAATTTTGATGTTTAATCGATTTAGAGCTTATAAATAAAAAATGGTAATAATTGGGTTCAATCTTGTTANTATTCGTAATCTTTATAAAATAACCTTTAAAATGAGTCCAAACATGATGTATTTATCTCAAAAAATAATGAAACCTAGAACTAGAAATTTGTGTTGTTTTAAATCGACTTGAACGATTAAAATTCAAATTTGATCGAAAAGAACATTAAAAATCCTTTAAGATGATACCAAACACGATATGGTTATGTTAAAAAACAAAAAAGTTATGACAGCTTTATTAATGACAAACAAAAAAAACAATTGACGATCGTTTCCTTTAAACCCCCATATCTCTCTTGTTTATTAAAATAATGAAATGGTGTTTGGACTTAAACTAATCAAAATTTTGTGTAAATTTCGTTTTTTTTTTAATAATAAATTTATTTTTTTTAATATCGAAGAACTGTCAAAAATGAAATGTCAAAAAATTCGATTTAATTTCAAATCGAATGAATGACGGCGAATCTTTACTAAATTATAATGAAATTCGCTTTTTAGAATTAAATGGGTTTCTTAATAAGAATAAAAACCTATAATTTTATTTGTTAACCTATTTTTTTTTTTATTTTTTCGATTAAATTTTTAATATTTATCAAAATCTCTTTAATTTGATACCAAACACAACTAATTTCCGATAAAAATAAAAAAAGTTAGGTTAAGAATTTAAAAAAATCCGCCATTTTGCTTTTTCACGAAAATGTTGTGTTTTCATATTATTTAGATCGAGTTTGGAGTTATTTTAAAGAATATTTAATTTCCTTTACGATGCATTAAGTATAATTTGGTTCTAAACACGATCTGTATAGGTCAAAAACTGTCAAATGTCAAAATCTCAAAATAAAATCAAAATAAATTTTATTTGTATAAATTATTTGATATGAAAAATCCTTTAAAATGATACCAAACTCGATGAGGTTATCTTCAAAAACAAAGAAGTTATGACACTTTTTTTTTTGACAGAAACAAAAAACAATTGATGATCGTTTTCTTTAAATCTTCATAACTCCCTTATTTATTAAGATAATGAGATCGTGTTTGGACTTAAATTAAGCGAAATTTTATGTAGATTTCGTTTTTTTAATAAATTTTTTTTTTAGTATTATCAAAGAACTGTCAAAAATGAAATGTCAAAAAATTTGATTTAATTTTAAGTAGATTTATTTAAGCAAATTTCTAATCAAGATCAATTTTTAAAATAAAAAAGATTCTAATTTCGAATAAAAACCAAATTGCGATTTTAAAGTTGAAAATGCAACTTTAATTTTATGACCATGCGAAAGAAAATGAAAAATCTTTTAAAATGATACCAAACTCGATGAAGTTATCTTCAAAAACAAAGAAGTTACGATACTTTTTCTTTTGACAGAAACAAAAAACAATTGACGATTGTTTTCTTTAAATCTCCACAACTCCCTTATTTATTAAGATAATGAGATCGTGTTTGGACTTAAATTAAGCGAAATTTTATGTAGATTTCGTTTTTTTAATAAATTTTTTTTTAATATTATCAAAGAACTGTCAAAAATGAAATGTCAACAAATTTGATTTAATTTTAAACAGATTTATTTAAGCAAATTTTTAATCAAGATCAATTTTTTAAATAGAAAGGGATTCTTATTTCGAATAAAAATCAAATTGCGATTTTAAAGTTGAAAATGCAACTTTAATTTTATGACCATTCGAAAGAAAATGAAAAATCCTTTAAAATGATATCAACCTCGACGAGGTTATCTTCAAAAACAAAGAATTTATGACACTTTTTCTTTTGACAGAAATAAAAAACAATTGACGATCGTTTTCTTTAAACCCCCATAACTCCCCCTTATTTATTAAGATAATGACATCGTGTTTGGACTTAAATGAAGCGTAATTTTATGTAGATTTCGTTTTTTTAATAATATACAGGGTGTATCAGGTATGAGTAGAAAAAATTTGATGGGTTATAGGGCCCCTTTTTGTGAATAAAAAATTCTTATAACAAAAGGTCGCATTCTCTACCATTCTTAAGATATGATACGATAAAGTTAAGAATTTGAAAGTTTAAGTACTGCAGTATAAATAATTATACTAAGCAGGCTTTGCTTATGTACATAGCTTTAATTTGACACATAAACGAAAAATATCATTTTTGAGATACTTTTTTTGGAGGTTGTTTACTTTATACGAATAAATTTATCACTTCTGTTTCATCACTTTTTAATGTGAAAATGTAGAAAAATTTATTTTAGAGCTTATAAATAAAAAATGGTAATAATTGAGTTCAATCTTTTTATGGATCTAGTCTTTATGGTCCATTACAAAGGTTTTATGTATAAAAAATATTTCCCCATCGCTTTTAGTTTATGAGTTATGATTGAGTTAATTTTCGAAAATCAACAATTTTGATGTTTACTCGATTTAGAGCTTATAAATAAAAAATAGTAATAATTGGGTTCAATCTTTTTATGGATCTAGTCTTTATCGTCCATTGCCAAGGTTTTATGTATAAAAAGTTTTTCCCCATCGCTTTTAGTTTGTGAGTTATGATTGAGTTAATTTTCGAAAATCAACAATTTTGATGTTTAATCGATTTAGAGCTTATAAATAAAAAATGGTAATAATTGGGTTCAATCTTGTTATGGATCTAGTCTTTATGGCCCATTACTAAGGTTTTATGTATAAAAAGTATTTCCCCATCGCTTTTAGTTTTTGAGTTATGATTGAGTTAATTTTCGAAAATCAACAATTTTGATGTTTAATCGATTTAGAGCTTATAAATAAAAAATGGTAATAATTGGGTTCAATCTTGTTATGGATCTAGTCTTTATGGCCCATTACTAAGGTTTTATGTATAAAAAGTATTTCCCCATCGCTTTTAGTTTTTGAGTTATGATTGAGTTAATTTTCGAAAATCAACAATTTTGATGTTTAATCGATTTAGAGCTTATAAATAAAAAATGGTAATAATTGGGTTCAATCTTGTTATGGATCTAGTCTTTATGGCCCATTACTAAGGTTTTATGTATAAAAAGTATTTCCCCATCGCTTTTAGTTTTTGAGTTATGATTGAGTTAATTTTCGAAAATCAACAATTTTGATGTTTAATCGATTTAGAGCTTATAAATAAAAAATGGTAATAATTGGGTTCAATCTTGTTATGGATCTAGTCTTTATGGCCCATTACTAAGGTTTTATGTATAAAAAGTATTTCCCCATCGCTTTTAGTTTTTGAGTTATGATTGAGTTAATTTTCGAAAATCAACAATTTTGATGTTTAATCGATTTAGAGCTTATAAATAAAAAATGGTAATAATTGGGTTCAATCTTGTTATGGATCTAGTCTTTATGGCCCATTACTAAGGTTTTATGTATAAAAAGTATTTCCCCATCGCTTTTAGTTTTTGAGTTATGATTGAGTTAATTTTCAACAATTTTGATGTTTAATCGATTTAGAGCTAATAAATAAAAAATGGTAATAATTGGGTTCAATCTTGTTATGGATCTAGTCTTTATGGCCCATTACTAAGGTTTTATGTATAAAAAGCATTTCTCCATCGCTTTTAGTTTTTTGTAAATTATTTTTCCTCTAACCCACCCTATAAGGTGCTCATGTTGTATATTACATTGCATATATTGTTAAATAAGAAAGTAAATAAAATTAATTAATTATTATAATTACCAATATTTTTTCCTTGAGAACTCCTTTGATGTTGCTGCTTACTTTTGTGTAACATCTCGATGAAAGCTTGCGAGGGAACTCCAGAGGGCGTCGTATTAGCCGCGGGGGAAATCGGGGCGAAATACGATTCGGCGTCACCCGGAATATTAACGGTCGATTCGGTGATATCGTTGAGTATTGTGTTGATTACATGGTTTTGGTCGTCTTCCATCGNAATCTTTATAAAATTACCTTTAAAATGAGTGCAAACATGATGCACTTATAAGTACAAATGATGCACTTATCTTAAAATACAAAGTTTCTAGTTCTAGGTCTAGTATTAGTTCTAGTTTTTCATTAGCACTATCATTAGAACTCATCTTGAATTTTCCTAGTGTAATTTTTGCTCAAAACTGACCAATAGCAACCTTTCTTTTCGGCGCTTCAATTTGACAACATTTCACCGAATTAAAAAATAGAGTATAGCTGAATTACATAGTATCATAAACAGGAAATCTTCACTTAAACCTGAATGATTATCCCAAGATCTACACTTATTGTAAATTATTTTTCCTCTAACTCAACCTATTGTATATATTGTTAAATAAAAAAGTAAATAAAATTAAATTATTATAATTACCAATAATTTTTCCTTGAGAACTACTTTGATGTTGCTGCTTACTTTTGTGTAACATCTCGATGAAAGCTTGCGACGGAACTCCAGAGGGCGTCGTATTAGCCGCGGAGGAAATTGGGGCGAAATACGATTCGTCGTCAGCCGGAATATTAACGGTCGATTCGGTGATATCGTTGAGTATTGTGTTGATTACATGGTGTTGGTCGTCTTCCATCGACGAGTTGCTGTGGTTCGAATTTTTAATTGGCGATTCCCGCTTAAACCACTGGCTAAATTTCGAACTCCCCGACGGTTGATTCTCGATTCCATTCCTTAAAATACTCGGAATGTCGCTTTGTAGGAAATCGTCCAAATTGAAATCGTCCGATTCCGATTTCGTTGCATTATTAATAACCTGAGAAGTTTTCTCTTTATTCGCGTCTTTGTTAGAGCTTTTCTCCGCCTGCGGTGCTTCTTTATCTCCTTCTTTATCAAATTGGGCTTCTTTAGATTTATCTGTTGAGATCTCATCGAGTTTTTGAGACCCATACCGGTTGATTAATCTTTCCTTGTCGCGAGCTTTTTTACGCTGACTTCCGGGTTTCTTCTTGTTGATTTTTTCGGAGTCATCGAATCCGCGCAACTCAATCGTGTCGTGTTGAGAGATGGGGCCTTCTGAGAACCACTCCGGTTCTTCCTCTTTATTCTCGGAAACGCGGCGTCTTTCGTAACGATTATTATTCCGATTAAAAGGGCCGTCTTTGGGACCTTTGGGTTGGCGCGGCCCTGGGGGGTCATCTCGGCTGAATGAACGACGTTCAAACCTATTTTATTTTAATTAAATTAAT